CCCAAAATAAAAACTGTGTATCTCTTGGAGGGTTAATTTCAATCTTTTGAAATGAAACGGTGGAGTTCATCTTGTCATATTCTAGTTTCAGATAGTATGTTCCATTTAGTAAAGAGTCGTATTTTTCTTGAAATTCCCAATAATATTTGTTCATTTGAGTTTGAAAGTCATTTAGAGTTTTCTCAAGACTTTCGTCTGAACGAACTGTAAAGATTCTCATTTCGTCAAATTTGTCTATTAGACCATCAGAACCTTTATACTGCCCATGAAAATATACTACGAACATAAATGCGTTAGTTCTATTTGAAAACAAAACTCTTCTAAATCCTATTGCCTTTGCATCTGAAGGACTTTGAAGCCAACGAATTGGATAGTCAAACCTGTATGTTCGGGATGAAATTTCTTCATCTGATATTGTCCTACCAGCATTTGTAAAGATATAGTCTAATGGTTTTGTATCTGCTACTTTTGTTCTTTGTTTTTCAACCTGAAGCATTTAATATATGTAAAAATATATTGTTTTTAAAATGGTATGCCATATAGCTTCTTGAATTTGTTAAGAAGTATTTGAACGTGTTTTCCATCTGTATCTCTAGTGTTTACATAAGCATAGCCTGCCTTAGTAAAATATACTTGTAATTTCCTATAGTTTACGCCGGTATAAAAGTAGAAAGAGTCTTGTTCTTCGCTATAGTAGTAAAACTCAAACGTATGCTCGCCATAGTCTGTAATTTCAATTGTTTCATCTTCTAGTTCGTCGACAAATTCGAATACAATATCTCCAAATTTGCCTTTGTTCTTATTGTTTTCAGAACGAGTGACCCAACGTAAGTTTTCAAGTCTATTGTCGTTTCTTATACGGTTTATATGGTCTACAAAAGGTAAATTGTTAGGATTCAGTATAAAATGAGTTGCAATGACAACATGTTTAAGATAGTGTTTTCCACCCATACTAACTATAGCATATCCGTCATTCCCCTCCCATTCGCTTAAAACTCTTTTTGTCTTTTTGTTTCTGACTTCAAATGACTCACAACAGTGAATTTCATATTTCTCATCTAACAAACAAGTTTCCCAACGGTCTTCTCCAACAAACTCAGCGTACATTTCAAATAAAATAAAAAATGTCACTTTTTTAAAAATAAATTTTTACTTCATGCAATGCTCACTAACATCGAAAGGCATGTCCATAAGACGTTCTTCTTCTAACCTCTCTAGTCTGTTTGGATAATTTGCACGTGCTGTTTCCAGATCCATTTCGTAGCGAAGACCAGCCAGTTTGTCATAGACTTTTATGGGTCTTCCCTTCCTATATTTAAATTTCTTCGAAACTCTCCAACCATATCTTTGCAACTCTGCTTTTATTCTAGCAGATTTTCTATCCATTCTATATGGGGGCATTTTTATAAAAATAAAAAAATGTTTTTTTTTCTTTACTTAACATAACCGCCTGCTGCCATAAGTCTTTGACGCCAACCCATACCAGCTAATGAAGGTTGACTTGGTTTAGTTTGGAAACTAAACTTTGGTTTTGGTTTATCTTCAGTTTTTGGTTTTTCTTCTTCTATCGGTTTTTCTTCTTCTATCGGTTCCTTTGACTTTACCTCACCTGCAGGAACAGTTGTGTCGTCAACATCTTCATAAATATCATATGCCATTTGTTTTTGTTTTCCTTTCAACTTTTTGTGTTTGTTGTAAAGTTTAGAATATTTCGACTCTAAGTCAATGAGATGTTCTATAATGAACTGTTGGTCAGTGAAGTAAACTTTTCCATCTGTTGTCTCGAAAGCTCCTTCAGACTTCAATATTTATTTGTGAGAGTCTTTCTTTTTTGAGATACTAGCCGTTCCATTTCTATGAAAAGTGACTTTGTAGTTAGGGTTTTGTATTTCCAGACTGGCACTTTCTATTATTGAATTTTTCTCTTCATCTGTAAGTTCTTTGACAGGTTTTGACAATGGTTTGAACTTTTGTTTGTGGTGTCAAATCTACCGTCAACTTCTTCGGTCATTTCATCTCAGTAAAAAATTTTAGTTTGGTTTGTTTTCAACTGGTTGTTTAGGGTTTTTTAAGTCGGTCTAAAACTTCCTGAGGTATAGGAAGAACTTGACAAACACGTTTGTAACTGCTGGAAGTCGACAAATCCATCTTGAAACCCATTTGTCTCAATGCTGAATTGTTCATTTCATCTCAGTAAAAAACTTTACATTCCCCAAGTTTGAGGGGTTGCGGTTGGTTATTGTTTAACCCCTGTTGTGCATGGTTATATCTCTGTTAAAGAATCTTTCACCTTGGTCCATATAGTGTCCTGCTTGGTTATAGTAGTCATTTGCTTTGTTATAATAGTTTCCTGCTTGTCTTCCTACATTGTCCATCCATCTTGAACTTTTCCTCTTGTTTCAGGATTTGGAATAAGATTTGCTGCATCTCGTGCTACATCCCAACCTTTCTGTACAGTTTGTATAATAGGTTGTGCTTTCTCTTTAAGTATACCTAATGTACTCAAAATCTTCCTTCCAACTCCAAATACACCTCTGGCTATTGTTCCACTGCGGGCAAAAATCTGGATGCAACTCCTGCTAATGCGCCAAATAAACCATTTCTTATGGGTTAAAAAATGACGAATCCAAACAAGGACCCCTATGTTTCTAAGGCAACAAAGAAAGCACTCATGATAAAAATCTTTAGTTCAACACCAAATGCTTGGTTTATGGATATCTTGGAAAACATTCCGAGGTATAGAGAAGATGGACCACCATACTGGCTAATATTTGTCGGTCAAAACACAAGATACTGTGAAGCCATACCATTATGGTCCAAAAATATTTTAGATGTGAAAACTGCTTTGACAATATTCGTTGACAAATACCATCCAACAAAACTGACATCTGACTGTGAAAGTTCTTTCAAATCAGATGATGTAAAAAACTATCTGCGTTCAAAAAATGTAAACCAATATTTTCATTGTCGACCAAACCATTCTGCTCTTGGTGTCATTGACGGTTGTATAAAATGTTAAGAGACTTAAACCAACCACAAGGTGGTGAAGCAAATGAAATGTCATATGACGACACAATATAGACACTTCTCCATGGCAAAGATGAGACAAGTTTTAAATATTTACAATAGCCGTAAACAAAAAGGTTTGGGAAACCACTCCCCCGAAGAAATGAAAAACAACCCTGACTTAGAGAAAGACTATATATTTAATAATTTAGTCAAAAGAGACAAACAAAAAGAATGCCGGGCTTCAAACTTCAGAAAGGTGACAAAGTAAAAATAGAAATACCTAAACGCGACCCATATGAAAATACTATTGACTATGACAACAATGGAACCCGACAGGTACTCACATTCGTGTTCGTAAAAATAGAAGAAAGTATACAAGAGAATATTATGAAGTTTTAGGCAAACATGGCAAAATGTACACACTGCAAGCAGAAGATAAAACTACTATTGTCAGACCTCGTTTCAAACTTGTCAAAGTTCAAGGTGGTATACTTTCAAAGACAGTTCCTAACAAATATAAGACAACTCCTGACGAATATGCTAAAAGAAGTTGAAAATGACGACTAAGCATTTCTATACCATGCGTAAACTGTCATGTAAGGTGGCATGTAGTCTTTACTTTGTCCCGTTGTTTGTGTATATCCTGAAACGCGATGTGTATGGTTTCCATCTCCCTGAGTGTTACCCCAGAAACAATTTATAGCAAACTGAACGTTGTCTTTAACATCATATCCTTTACCTTTTTTCATTGCTGACCAATCCCAAAAATTATGCTTATGCCAACCTGCTTGAGATGTACTTAAATCTATGTAGTGACTGTGTGCAGGTAAATTTTCACCTGAAATCGTTTTACTTCCACCTGTTTCCTTTGAAGAGTTTGCACAATACAAAAACCTGTCGACTATTTGAGTCCAAGTTCCAAAACCAAGTACTACTTCTGGTCTGGTAGAGTTCATTGACGTATAAATAGAGCCTATAGGATATAATGTTTGAAGCATTTCTGTCTTTAATGTTTGAAGCTCTGTTTTGTCTGCTTTCTTGTCATATAAATCTTGAGCAGTGAATTTAGTATTATATTCATCCTTCATGACATAAACATCTTTACATCTAATGTTTCTCATCGTCGTTATGTCGTCATCCGATGTTAAACCTTGTGGAAAGTTAGGAGGTTTACAATATAATACATCCCCACCAGTTTCTTCAACCGTTCCTTCAATACTTTCTATAGCAACAGTTGTAAAACTTGTATGTGTATGGTTCTTGTCTGCTTTCTTCTCTAACTCATCGTTAACATAAGTTTTATCTGCTTTAAGGTCTAAACATCCTGAAACCCATCCTGTATCGGCTTTAACTTTAAAAGTCTTCGATGTCCATTCATGGTACCAGTCAACCCTTTCTTTCATTTCGTTATCTTTTTCATCCACATATTCCTTATCCGCTTTCTTCTCTAACTTACTAGCCATAAGTCCCTTATCTACCTTATTTTCAAGGCTAACGTTTAAGTCTGTTATTTCAGATATAGAATGTGTATGAGTCTTTTTAGAATATTCGTTTTCAGCTCTTGTCACTTCACTTGACATTTTATTGTCAACATATGTTTTGTCTGCTAGTTCAGGATGAGTATGTTCTTTTGTTGCATAAGCATTGTTAGCTCTTTCTTCTTCTTTTGCTATTGCATCGTCTACATATTCTTTGTCAGCTTTGTTGTCAACATCTGCTTTCAAAAGAAGTTCATTTATAGGTTTCTCGTTTAAAGTTCCTTTTGTTGGATTTATACAGACAGTATTGTTCTTCTTGTCTTGAAATAGAAACTCATCTGTTAAAGGGTTTAATGTCAGTTTTAAGTTTCCTTCTTTCAATGACTCAGATATCTTAGAATAGTTTGAAAAGTTTGTTGTGTTCTTATTTAGAGCTTGCATAATGAGTTGTCGGTTGTGTTGTATTTCTCTCATGGAAGCAATATCTTTCGACATTTTTATTCTAGATAAAATATGCTTCCAATAGAAAAAGAAAATTCAAGAGTTGCTACAACTAAACCATTAGATGAACTTTTTACTAATGTCGGTCAAAAGTTTGAGACAGAGACCGTAAAGCATGAAGGCTATCGTTTTGACTACCCATTAAGATGGCTAAGAGACCCATCTGTCACAAAAGCTATTGGCTTTCGTAGAATGAAGTTTGTGTCTGTAGAAGATAAAAGTTTTCCATTTATTGTAAGGTTTCATATAGATTATATATCTGAAGGGAAACGAAAAATGTGGGAAGAAATTGAGCTAATACAAGTTGACCTTTCATCTTCTCTACAGACTGCGTTAAAAAATATAGAAGATAAAATAAATTCATGTTATGCAAAATATGCTGATGAATATGCAAATACCGAGAGCACACTTTATGTGAGAATTGTATATGACAAACAAAATTCACAAGTGTCATTTCAAATCTACGAAGACAATCCAAAGAAAGACGAACAAATATATACAGAATTCACTGCAATGTCATGGTATTATTTGCAAAGAATGTTAAATCAGAAAGTCGAACTTCCTTTAGCAAATATTTACAGTCGATATGCAAGAGATGAACCATATTTATTTAAAGATGTTTTCGACCCAGCTGCTATTATTGTTCATGCTTCATTTTCTGGCGCCCAAAACTCTTTCTTATGCTTGGCAAATGACTTTTACGAAAAACCTACAAAGTTATACGAACCACCAAGTGGAAGTATTTCAGACTTTCAAGTATGGTTTACTACAGATGGAAGAAAAAAGAATAATTCCATTATACCATGCGTTTTACTTAGAACTTAGTTTCATATACAACTACTATCGAACGGTAAAAATATAATTTTTTAATACGGTTGAGGTGTTGGATTTGGTTGCCAACTAGACTGTGGTGCAGGTTCAGGCTGTTGTATAACAGGAGCTTGCTCTTCTGGTTCAGGGTCTTTAGGTATAATACCAACAAACTGACCTACCCTTTTACCAATATTTTTGACTCCGTTCCAAATTCCTTTTCCTACGGTTTTTATTCCATTCCATATACCTCTTCCAACTCTTCTGAAGAAGTTTCCAATACTACTGAAGAAACCCATTTTACTATATGTAAAAATCTAATGTCCGCCTAGTCTCTTACGTTTCCTGTTGAGTTCCATAGCATTCTTTAACTGGAGCTCATACATTCTGTTTCTCCTCTGGTAGAAAACATATTCTGGGTCAACTCCTGTGTTCGCGTCATCTGCATAAAGTTGTTTATATCCCACTTCAGGGTTTGTATAAAACTCTTTCCATCTCATATTTGCATACCATGGTGGCAAACCTAACGCAGCGTCATTTGACATGGCAGTTTGCATTTGTACATCTGTTGGCACTTGACCATAGTTTGCCATTGCAGTTTGTATTCTAACTTCATTTGGAATATTCTCTGGGTTTGGTTGTCCAGGTTGCTGTGCATTCGCTAAGTTCTGTGCGTCCATTTAATATTAGATAAAAATATCTCTTACGAGTACATATACTGAACATTTGCAGGAATTGGTTCATCTTCATATTCTCTGTACTTTTCTGCCACGTCAAATAAATAAATGACACAATGGAAAAAACCTAAAACAAGTAGTCCTATTTCAAACCACATTTACTTACTAATAAAATTTCTTTATTGTGACACTTTCTCCAGTTTATAGGACCTCTCTCATATTCTATCTTGTCATATATAAACTCATAGTCATGTATGTCCTCTAACCATCTCATAACGGTTTCCAAACCACTTTTATCGGATGTAAAGTAAAAGCATGGATGGTTATGTAAAACGTCTAAAGTTTCTAAAGAGTCTCTCAGAGTCCAGTCTACTTGGTATTGAAAATCCCATGTGTTATAGAACGGCGGGTCCACTATAAAGAAAACATTTTCCTTGTCTTTATATTTTTCATACAAATCTGTCCAATGACATCTCACAAACTCTATACCCTCAATATATTTTTCTATGTCCTCTTTGAAAACATTTGTATAGTTAAGATATAAAACTTTTGACATAAGTGTTTCAATGTCATGAACTCTTATAGCACCACTATATAATAGTCTAGCAGATATACTATCCCAGTCTATATATTCTGCTTTTTTCAAAACCTCTCTCACAATATTTTTCTTATCTAATGGTATACGTTCCATCTTACCTATCTGAATCTTTTCTTTTAACTCTTTCAATATTTTGTTAGTGTCTGGAATATGTTTGAGACGGTCCATATAGTTGTCGAAGTCATTGCATATAATCTTTGAGTCTGGGAATATTATATGGCACAAATGGGATATATAGAAACTTCCACCGAACAAATCTACAAATGTTAGACCATTCGGTAGTTTCTTAAGTTCTCTCAATATAATATCTTTACATCTACTCTTATTTCCAAAGAACGGTAACGGTGGTTTTGTAAAATTCATTTATATATAATAATAAAAATGTTTTTACCCGAAAAGTGACAGAAAAGTGACAAAGCATTTACGAAGAAATCATGAAAATTCAAGAGGGTAGAAAAGAGGTTAGATCTAACCTTCTACCCTAAATTATATTTTTGGGTCCTTTACACTCATTACGAAGAAGTCTTGACAAAACATTTACGATGAAATCATGAAAATTCAAGAGGGTAGAAAAGAGGTTAGAAAAGAGGTTAGATCTAACCTTCTACCCTAAACATTATTTTTGGGTCCTTTACACTCATTACGATGAAGTCTTGACAAAACATTTACGAAGAAGTCTTGACAAAACATTTACGAAGAAGTCTTGACAAAACATTTACGAAGAAGAAGTCTTGACAAAACATGAAAACATATATAATTTGTGAAAAGCTCCTGGAAGACCCGTATATATAAGAACTTCATTTATAATAATCATCTTCAGGGCTAGAAGGCACGAAGTGCCTGGAAGCCCCACTACTTTTTTTTTTTCATGGCATATGAAAATCGATGAGGGGGGCACAAACTTGCCCAGTGAGGTGAAGTGAAAAGTGACAGGTTTACATGCCAGAAATGTAAAGTGTCAGATTTGAAACAAAAAATGGATTAATTTATTATTATATGATAGAGAGATTTGGTAAGTTACTATCAAATTTGTAAGTAAGGGGGAGAAAAAAAGTAAGAAAGAAAAAAAAATTTAAAAAATAAAAAGCCACTCGCTTCGCTCGCGGTTGACAAAAAGAACAAATTCGAAAAATAATTGTATGAAATTACGAAACTAAGCCACTCGCTTCGCTCGCGGCTTAAGAAAAGAACAAATTCGAAAAAAGATTGTACGAAATTACGAAACTAAGCCGCTTGCTTCGCTCGCGGCTTAAGTAAACAACATATTTCAGATTATCGATACTAAAAATTTTTTATTTTATTACTTTTTTTTGCATTTTTTTAAAGCTTCTTCACTTAAATCATGGAATGTCTCAAAGACAAAAGTAGCATACAGCATGTAAAGCTAAAGAAAGATAATCATAATTAATACCTTAATTTTTAATATTACGCATTTTTAGGTGCAAAATTTAAAAACATTCTAATACAATAGAGCAGTTTCCAAAAGTAGCATACAGCATGTAAAGCTAAAGAAAGATAATCATAATTAATACCTTAATTTTTAATATTACGCATTTTTAGGTGCAAAATTTAAAAACATTCTAATACAATAGAGCAGTTTCCAAAAGTAGCATACAGCATGCAAAGCTAAAGAAAGATAATCATAATTAATACCTTTAAAGTTTAAAATCTTGATTTTTTTTAAAATCAAATATTTATAACTTTAATACATACAGCTTAAACCTTATACTTGTTTTCTCTTGTGAGAAAGCAATCTTACAAAGCTAACAATCCTAAAAAATAAAGAATTAAAATTTAATAATTTAATCTAAAATTAAAATCAAAATTAAATAAAATGAGTTCTTTGTAATAATACTTTCAAGGTAGGATATATTTTAGTGGGATCTATTGAGTCATCACTAACAGCATTGAGCAATCTATTGAGCATTGAAATACTCTCGATTTTTCTTTGTCTTTTTACATCAATTTCTGCGTTAGTTGCTTTTTCCATGATCCAAATGACACGGTCATCTGCTGGTTTTTGATCAATTTTGAGTTTGATAACGAAAGATGGTATCACTTTTGTATAAATTTCTATAATAACATCATCAATTCTGAGATTTTTTCGATCAGGAAAATAGTCATGTTTGAGTGTTCTAAAATGAGCTTCGGCAATATTGTTAGTTGCGTCGCCTTCACGCCTGTCACGAGCAATCCATCTTGATATGTTGTAACGCCATTGTCTGTTAAAGTATTGAGATGCTGTTGGATCTGTGTCGAGCAACTCCAGAACTTGATCATAGGCAGCATTTGCTTCTTCCTCATGTTCTGCATCTAATTTGAAGACTAAATCCTTCATCAAATTATAGAATTGTTCAAATTTTTCTTGAGAAGAAAACTTATTTGATTTGCGAAGAATTGCACGAAGAACATGTACTCCGCACCAAAGTATTTGAGCTTGTGGAATGCTTTCTTCTATTGCTTGAGCTATCTGTGGAGCACAGTCCATGCTAATGTATTCTGGCTCAATTGTTACCCATCTGAGATAGGCGCACACGCAAACTTGAATGTTTTGATAAGTGTCTGGTTGACAAAAGAAATATAAAAAAGGGAAAATGTGAAAATCTTTGATTTTGCCAGTAAATGCATACAATGGAATGTTTGATCGCAACAATTTATAGGTGCTGTCTATATGAAATGTCTTGATACTATGCGCATAAGCTTTGCCTTCAAAAGGCGCGTAATAGAAACACATATTATTGTCTGAGACTTCAAATGCAATGAGATCATCTGGAGATTCTTCTTGTACTGTCTGAACAAAGATTTGCAATGACACAACATCGTCAGGAGAATATCTAGTTTGAAGAGCATGTATTCTCTCTGCAAATCGTTTGATTGCACGTGGTTTTTGAGCGTACATCTCTGGAATGGACGGACCTGTAAGAGGAATTTCAAGATCTTTGAATGCATTTAGCTGTGCTATCGCTCTTTGATTGTCATCTGTTTGGAAGTAATGTTCTAAATATTTGCGATAAAAGACAGACGAATATTGACTTTTGTCATTTGGGGCGGAATGATCATGTTCTTCAACTATTTTGATTAGTTTGTATTTATTTTGATCCAAGATTGCAACATTAAAATGTGCAGGACATTTTGGATATTTGCAGTGGAATGAAATCTGAGATCTTTCTTTCCTGACACGTTCACCATATCCATACTGTGCTTGTATTTCTTGTTTAACTCCAAATTTACAAAGATCCATAACAGTAAAGATAGTTTCTTCTTCTAATTCCATTTGAAATTGAAATGAAAATTAAAAATTCAGAAATTTGAATAGATTTGGTCTGTAATTAAATGAGAATAGCAGTTTGTTCGTCATTGTTTGAGGCAAGAGTATTATAGGAATATTATATGATGGATTTGAGTTGCATATAAAGAGTGCAAAAGGATAAAGAGAGAAATTTTGTTAGATTAAATTATTAAATTTTAATTCTTTATTTTTTAGGATTGTTAGCTTTGTAAGATTGCTTTCTCACAAGAGAAAACAAGTATAAGGTTTAAGCTGTATGTATTAAAGTTATAAATATTTGATTTTAAAAAAAATCAAGATTTTAAACTTTAAAGGTATTAA